TAGATTCACTAACACTTAGAGTTTATTTATACTTTCATTAAATATAACATAAGATTTTGTGGTATCCACTTGTGTAAATATTTTAAATTGAAGATCAAATTCATTTATTGTATTCATATAGGGTCAAGGAGTGTAGTTGTAAAAAATCATCAAAATCAGAGTTAAAATAACCGTTAAATCGTGAATTTTCATTGATAACCGTCAAAAAGTTTTGTCTTGTTACTTAATCTCTGAATGTTTGTTTTTTGAAATTTTTAACGTATGCGATCTCGAAGCATATACAAACATGTTTGACGGTTGGATCGTTGAAACTAGTTTCATAGAATGCATATCCTATCAAAACAATAGATTCACGAACACTTCGAGTTTATTTATACTTTCATTAAGTATAACATAAAAATTTGTGGTATCCACTAGTGTAAATATTTTAAATTGAAGATCGAGTTCATTCATGATATTCATATAGGGTCAATGAGTGTAGCTGTAAAAAATCATCAAAATCGGAGTTAAAATAACCGTTAAATCGTGATTTTTCGTTTATAACCGTGGAAAAGTTTTGTGTTGTTACTTGATCTCTGAATGTTTGTTTTTTGCGATTTTTTGCTGATGTGATCTCGAAGCATATGCAAACAAGTTTAACGGTTAGGATCTTTGAAATTAGTTTCGGAGAATTTGTATCTCATCAAAACGATAGATTGACTAACACTTAGAGTTTATTTATACTTTCATTAAGTATAATATAAGATTTTGTGGTATCCACTTGTGTAAATATTTTAAATTGAAGATCGAATTCATTCATTGTATTCATATAGGGTCAAGGAGTATAGCTGTAAAAAATCATCAAAATCGGAGTTAAAATAACCGTTAAATCGTGATTTTTCATTTATAACCGTCGAAAAGTTTTGTCCCGTTACTTGATCTCTGAATGTTTTTTTTTTGTGAGTTTTTGCTGATGTGATCTCGAAGCATATACAAACAAGTTTGATGGTTGGGATCGTTGAAATTAGTTTCAGATAATTCGTATCTCATCAAAATGATAGATTGACTAACACTTAGAGTTTATTTATACTTTAATTATGTATAACATAAGATTTTGTGGTATTCACTTGTGAAAATATTTTAAATTGAAGATTGAATTCATTCATTGTATTCATATAGGGTCAAGGAGTGTAGCTGTAAAAAATCATCAAAATCGGAGTCAAAATAACCGTTAAATCATGATTTTTCGTTTATAACCGTCGAAAAGTTTTGTCCCGTTACTTGATCTCTAAATGTTTGTTTTTTGTGATTTTTTGCTGATGTGATCTCAAAGCATATACAAATAAGTTTGACGGTTGGGATCGTTGAAATTAGTTTCGGAGAATTCGTATCCCATCAAGTTTAATGGTGTGTGTGTATATATATATATTTATTAAGTAGATTTAAATCTATTTATTTTGTACGTATAATTGATTGGTATACGGAGTAGTACATCACGTGAGTCATTATAAAAATAGTGAGATATGTTATATGTGTGATAAAAAGTTAATAACTTAAAAAAAAAAAAAAAAAAAATTCTCACCACTTCTATTAATTTTCATTTTCCCTCTCTTTTTTGTTTCCTTTTCAACTTTTCTTATAATTTTCACTTTTCCCTCCGGCAACCTATGGTGCCTACCCATTTTTTCCTAATTCCCTCTCTTTTTTGTTTCCTTTTCAACTTTTCTTATCATTTTCATTTTCCCTCCCTTTTTCTTCAAAAAGGGCGGCACTGCAGGGAATGGAATGGAATTATCAATTATGGAATCAAATCAATGGATGCATATTAATTAATAATTATTATAGTTTTTATAAAATTTAATTCAAAATTTAATACATATATATATAATTATTATAGATAGTTAATATTTTGGGGGTAGAATTATTATAGTTAATATATATATATTATAGTTTTTGGGGGTATAAAATTGTTAAATTAATATATATATAATTATTACAGTATTTTTTTAGGGTTATAAAATTATAAAAATAATATTCTGCTTATCGTGTATCGTGTTACCCACGTGTATACCCGAATCAACCCGTTATCTTAACAGGTGCTTATCGGGTTACCCGATAATGATTCGATTCGTTATCGTGTCGACCCGAACACCTGTTAATTTCGTGTCGTGTCGTGTCGGGTTATCAGGTCGTGTCAGGAATTGCCAGGCCTAGTTTTAACGGAATATTCCCTAACGCCGTTAGGGTTCCACACGCGTGCCAGACACGTGCCCATGCGTCTGGTCATGCCTTGGCCGGTGCGTGGTGGCGCGTGGGAGGTCAGAAAATTATTTTAAAAATATAGGGATGTTCGTGATGTTGAGTAGAGCACGTTGGTATATTCAAACACTCCATTTGAGCAATGTATGAGAAGTTATTATCTAAGGTTGGTTATGTGCATTAAATTGACATTTTTATAGTTGTTTCGCATATAGGTGAGGACTATTCGGAGGACGAGCGCAGCCACGTGAGGCTCGGGGCTTACAATCCTTCTACGTATCAGTGAGTGGGCTTTTGGTTTTCCGTATATACCTATATACTTGAGAAAAAATGCAATTAAATGTTTATATGTTTTTTTTAAATGCCATGCATAGTGTTTGCATATTTAGTTATGCATTAGTAGTTGCATATATGTATGCTTTGGTGTTGCGGACGCACAGGTAAGTTAGGTGAGTATATTGTTAGTTATAGATATGGTGTTGATGAGATTGAGATATAGCTTATAGTCCTGCACCTCGGTGATTGTGCTCCGCCAGAGTAGGGCTTAGCCTTCACGTGATCGTTCACCTCCTGCACCGTACGCTCACCTTGGATCCAAGGCAAGTGCCAGCCTGTCATACAGACCACTTTAGACGGTTCCAACTCGCAGGTGACTTGCGATACTTCGCACAACCTTCACGTGATCGTAGCATTATAACGTATTTATTTACACCCAGCCTGTCGTACAGACCATTATAGGTGGTTCCGACTCGTGTGTAGGATAGTGGTTGAGGAGCTATATTTTCAGCCCTACAGGTCACTTTAGGTGACTCCGGCTAACATGTTGATATTATCAGCATATTATGATTTGTGTGTATCTCACCTGCTTGATGCTTATATTGTTGATCGGATATTTTGGCACTGCATATATCTGGCATGACATATTTGAGCTTTATCGTTTTTAGCATGATTTGATATACAAGTATGTATAATATTTTCTGGAAAGTATACAGGTTTTCTGAGAGGGGGTTATTACTTGATATTGAAATGGTTTGAAAAACAACGTTGTTTTTGCCCACTCACGTTTTCTGTTTTCCGCCCCTCCAGGTTTTAGGCAATGAGGACGTGGGTGAAGACAGAGGCATCGAGGCATTTCTGAGAAAGCACCCTCCATGTAGGATTTTCTAGTTATCACTTGTGTAGTGTTTGTTTATTCTGGACTGCACCTAAGATACTTGAACTTTTACTTTGCCTTTTTCCTTCCGTGTTTGTCACTAGCACTCACTGATCTCTTTATTGTAAATTATCCTGTTGACTTTATTTCCTCGTATTTTCACTCTTTTGCTTCCGCACTGTGCACTTGGCTACGTCACCCTCACGTGACGACCAGCACGCTCCACTTTCAGATTCGGGGTGTGTCAGGGGATGAGTTTAGCCTCACAATGGGTTAGCAATAATGTGATTCAAGGTCATTTATTAAATATTATTTTCTCTATTTTTAAACACATTCAAAACATCTTAAAAGATGTGTAATGCTGGTTATAAAAAAAAGGTCTTTCGCATATGGATAATAATATGATTAAATTAATTATCAAATGATTGGTTTTTTTTTTTTTGAACAAATAATATTATCTACACTAAGAGGGAGAGTGTGGTTAACCTCACAATGGGCTAACAATAATATGATTCAATTAATTGTTTATTAAATATTATTTTCTTTAATCTTAATGAAAATGCTATAAAAACTAATTTTATTATGTGAATTCAACTGCTTTTATTGGTTTATGAAGAGTTTCTTCTAGCATGATCTAAAATTATTCATTTACTTAAAATATTTGACTTTCCTTTTGTCAATTTACGCATATAAATACATTTAAAACGTGTAAGTCACGCGTAGCACGCTTTGATTCAAAATATGTCTTCTGCACGTGCTCATGAAGGCTAGTACATTTGTAAAACAAACACAAGTTACCCTAAACTGCTGATTTCATCTCTAAATTTCAAATTAGCTTTTGATTTCCCTCTAATTTTTTTTAATTAAAAATTAAGGACTTCACTAATATTTTGCCGATTTTCCCTACTGTTAGTTTTTCATTTATTCCACCAAATTTTTGTTAAATGAAAACATAAGCACAACATATAAGGGTAATTTGGTCGCTTCGTTCTTTAAAATAATTGAAAACCTTAGATTTCTAAAATGTCAACCCGTGCAAATCTGTGTAATTCTATAGCTTTTGTGTCTAAAATTTTAGCAAATTGACATTTTGTTCTCAAAGAAGAGTCACGTGGTGTGCACGAGATAAGAGTTAAAATTAATTTGGATGGAATTTATGAAAAACTAAAGATAGGATAAATCAACCAAAAAAATTAGTTTTAGTTCTTGATTTTCCAATTTAAAAGTTTAGGGGGTAAATTGAAAATTGGGTGAAAGTTCAAAAGGGAGATATGAGCAATTTACTCTTCTCCTTTTTAAGAAACTTACGCACAATTATGTGTTTTAATTTTCTTACATGACATCGGTTGATTAGCTTGAGATATTGTCATTTTAGCAAACCCAGTTGAATGCAAGTTCTCATCAACCGAGCCCCCAATAGGCTAAAACATTGTATCCATTTGGTTTTGGCACCCCTTAAAGTTGCAAGAGAACCACCACAGCGTGAGGCTCCCTCCATGGCGACTCACTGACTCAGGCGGCCGGCGATCTGTACTACAAACTGCACTTTTAAATTTTCAAAGATTTCCATATGGTTTCATAAAGAAAATGAAGTACACAGACAAAACAATTGCAAGGTGAAACTGCAACTTTTTCTATTGATTTAGCTCAAATACAACAACGATATTTCTCGTAAACAAGGAGAGGATAAAGAATCAATTGAATATTAAGCGAGTGGCAAAGAAGAAACAAAAATCGACTGACAGAAGCTATAACCAAAATTTAGAAGCTGCATCCAAAATTTCCCAAAATTTCAACAGGGAGGCGTAACCTGTTGGCTTCTGCGGTTGAAGACGAAAGATGAAAACAAAAATGTTAAAAGAATAAAGCGGTATATACATCGCCTCACTGCTGTTTACCTTCTTCGATAATCCACACTGAGGAACCTTTCATACTGTGTTCCCGCAAGTGTCTTTTGGACATCACCCCAATTCTCAATCTGACTAGATAAGTTACCTTTGTGTATCTTCACCTGGCGACTCTTTAAATCCCTTTTTGGAACCTTGAGAAAATCTTGAACGTCAAGCAACTTCTGCAAACATACAAAATTGAAACTTTCAGAGGTTGGTATTCTTTCTTTTCTACCCTTTTATCGGGGCGCTGACAAAAATACTGGCACACACATAATATTTTATCGCAAACAACAAGAGGAAATATCAGTTTAGTGTTCATATGGTTCTCTTACAGTGCGGTTTTTTACGATATCCTCATAGAATAGGATAATATGCCGGGTGCTCTTCAAATATTCCAAAGCTTTCGTACTTGTATCCTCTACTTGCTTCAGGTTGGGTATCAGCAAAGTTGCATTGATTATAGGCTTGTATTTTGCAAGTATCTCTGCCTGCACCCAGAACATGTAATAAGTCTGTATGTCAAGTCATAAAGAAACAAGCAATTGACATTTACGTAGAAAGCATGCATACGAAGGAGGGAGAGACAGACCTCGTGAGGAGAATGAACATGAGACTTGTGGGTCCCATTCAGCAGCTTTTTATCTCGGTCATACAAGTTTGCAAGCACAGAGATCATCCTCCGTAACAGGTTTCTCCGAAAGAGAAAGATAGCAGAAACACCTCGTGTATTGAAGTACTCTACTATTTCTTCATGATGCTGCATCAAGCCCTGCATAAATTGTTGCAATATTAATTCGCTGGTCGGTGCATAAAACAAAAAGAAGCAGAGAAAAACACAATAAATTATCTCATGAGCTAACTTACGCGTCAAATTCTACCTAGAACAAGGAATCGAATACAAAAGTAAAGATAAATAATGAGTTTCAGGCCAATTGCTAATGACAAACAAATTTGGATGGACATTTCAATGGACCAAATTAAATTACAAGATGGACATTCTAACTTAACCCAAATCCCAGTTCGTATCAAATTTCTTTCCAACCAAGACTTGCATCCATGTAACTATCATACCAAGCAAGCTTGAAATGTTACTCAGCTCAACCCCCTTCGCTAACAATAATTCTTCAGTTACAGTGAGATGGTCCTACACTTCCAAACAAAAGGTTTTCATTACTTGGAGGGCATGCTTCTCTCAATGAAATGGAACAATGTGATGAACAATATCTAGATCCATCAGTTGCCATGAAATCTGTAATGTATCATCCCTTTGATAACCCAAATTAGGTTACTTGAAGGCTGGCTTCCTAATAGGCACATCGGTTGCACTCAGGACAGGCAGTTTATGATGATAATAGGGCTGCCTACCTCTCTCAAAATACAAGTGTTGAGCATTCATGCATCCATACATAATCTAAACGAGGCATTGAGTACCATTAACATCAACTTCTTCTGACGTATAAATTTCGTGGAAGCAACGTAACTCTGAAGTGCTACACATTTAGCATATAAAGTTCAAGCTTAGCAGCAGTGCAGAAAATTTGTAGAGAGTACACATTTAAGCAAACTTCAAGCTTACCAGTTATCCAGAAAATTGCACTGTCTAATTTCAGCCATCTCTAAACCCGTCCTACTAGCCACCGGTGAGATACACATGAAATACGTGCATGATCGTCATTAAGAGCATCATACTTCCCGATCATCGATGACCCTAGAAGATCATAAAGAAACTACCCTATCCAATCCTACATACCCTTTACCACTCTCCACGAATATGCATTTAATATCAAAACTATAACACAAACTTCCTGGAAGGACTTGCTATACATTTTACTATAGTATCTGTAACTGTAACAACTTACAAAATAGGTAGATGATAGGGCAATTGAGTCCTTGGTGTTACTTTTACTAATAATAACTGGCTGTCAAAAACAACAAGCTAGGCTGAAAACTTCCTGTCGAAAATGAGTAAAACATACTGAACTGAAATGCCATTGTCTCTCACTCAAAAACCCACCAAATAGCTAATTAACAGAAACAAAAAATAAAAATAAAAAACTGAAAAAAAATGCATGAAAAAGCACCGACCTGATTAAGCATCCACTTCAAGCCAACTGCAGCGGTGCATTCATTCTTTGAGGCACTACTCAACCAATCTAGATTATAAAGTTTGTCCAAAGTCTCAACGATTGTTGAAATATTACTTCTCCTAACTTTCACAGAGAAAATCTCCCCATTTGAGCTTATGTTAGTATGATTATTCAGTAGCGTCTCAAACCACCCACTCCCAGATCTCTGCATCGACAAAATTGCGAAATATCGCACAGGATTGCACGCACACTCAGCCCTATTATCCACAAAAAAAAAAAAATCTAAATCATTGCATTTCAAATGGAACCCAAACTTGAAACTCCAACAGATCAGTAGCATACCTGCTATAAGTATGGGGCTTTGGGTAGTGCATATAACGAAATTCCTCCGGCTCAACATCAGGATGTGGACAAGGCCTTTGAATCACCTGAACACTTGAAAATCCGGACTTGGTGCGGGTGCTGACTTGCTTTAAACAAATTGAGCAAATATAGACACCACAGACCATTGCAAACAGCACAACAATCATCCGCAGCACCAATGGAGATTTCTTTGGCGCCTTTATTAAAAATATATCCTGCACTCCATGCATTAGGCAATGCAAAACGAAGGTTGAATAATAAATTATAAAAACGACATGGGTAATTAGTCCTAATAAAGGTCCAAACTTTACAAGTCAATCTGATCGACATCGAGCTACCCAGAAGTTTATAAACAGTAAAGTCGGCAGGAAGAACAAATGACATGGGTATCATTGCCATGATCCAAAAAAATCCAGGATTCATAAATTCACATGACTAAGCAGTTAAATCACGGTCGTTAAGTAAAACAACAATAGTGTAATTAAGATTAATCCTAAAACTAAAAACATGACAAGGGTAATTAATCCTAAAAAAGTTCCAAACTTTTGAGTCAATCTGATGAACAAACGGCATGGGTATGAATGGAATGATCCAAAAAAATTCCCAGGATTCATAAAGTAACATTATTGAGCTATTAATTCAGTGATTAAGTAAAATAATAGTGTGATTAAGACCCCCTTTCCTATTTAAAAAGGAAATTTGGGTTTGCCTGAGCTAGAATACACAGACCAAAAGCAAGCAATAAATAAGGATAACAAACTGTCAAAAATTTCAACACCCAGATCGGGAAATTCACATGCAACCCCTAAAAATAATCAAAAGGGATAGAATCTAATACCCCAAAAAAATTAAAGTTCCAGGGGAAAAAAGAAAAAAACCAGTTAAAATTTGAAATGAGGAGCCGGCAAAAGCAAACCTTGAAGGAACAGGGATTCTCAGCCATTGTAATGGGAGCTCAAAAGGCAAGCATTCCTCCTCCTGCTTTACTTTTCTCAAAAACCCACAACAGCCATTAATTCAAAAACCCACAAACAAAAAAAAGGAAAGGAGGAGAGAGAGTAAAATCTGTAGATTTTGATGGGGTTGGAGTTTTTTCTCGTGAAGAACACTATGATTCGATGCCTCTCAGAGACCCGTTGCACTTGCACGCTCTCTTGCCCTGCTTTTTCGTGTGTATGTTTTTTTGTCCTTTTCGAATTTTTGCAGAGATTTTCTATTCACCGAATCGTTTCTCGACCTGTTGGTACTTTTCTGCAGTAGACGGTGGAAACGGCGTCGTTTGCTTGATCTTCTGGGCCCATTAATTAAGGAAAGAGAACGACATTAATGTTTGACGATTTCCTTTTAGTTGACCGTTGGTGCCGTTTCCCGACCGGAAAATGTCTTCAATTATTATTCAAGTTAATTAAAAGTTTTGGTTTTTTTTCATTTAATCTAAACCACCTATTAACAAAAAGATAATGCAAAGAATATCATTTAGTTTTTAATTTAATTTAAATTATGTTTATAAATCAAATTTTGCAAATTTTTGATTATCATATTTATTTCTTATTAATATAATATTATTTAGTTTGTAAATTTAATCTTTTTAGCATTACTCTTAACAAAATTCTTTTCATCAACTAAAAGATGATGAAAGGACAATTTATTCGCAAAATTCTCTTTAACGTGTTCTTCCTCTCGGGCCAAGGTCAAATATGGGCTTCTCTCTGCTTGGCTCGCTGCCACACAACCCAAATATGGGCCTAAACTACTAGTTTTCTTGTTTCCACACTTCAACAACTAACCTTGTTTAGACTCTGTCTATTGGATTAATTTAGTGACCTGCTGTTCATAAATCCGTAAAAAAAAATATACTTTTTCCCCGCAATCCATTTTCCATAAATTACGATCCAATATTTTATTTTTTATTTTACCGTTGACATCTTTTTGTAGTCCCAGAGCTACTCACATTGGTCTCTAAAGCAACTCAAATTCACTACGCTAGTTGTATATTGTATCATGTGTTCTTGCAGGTACATTTTTTTTTTAATTGGAAGTTGATATCAATCGAAACCTAAGTTTCGAATTAGTGCCTTTGAAACCTGACGTTTTCATAAAACAATACATCCATGTAAAACCTGAAGTTTTTCATGCAAATTAAACCAAACCATGTTTTGGAACCCGAACATTCCAACTTTGATGCTTATGGAGGTTTCTATTTCCCATAGCACCAAACAGAATCTTGTATTCATTGGATTGTCAGACCGTCACAAGTTCAATTTCGCTGACATGGAAGTTTCTTACATAAACTACTTTATGTGGGTACAAAGCGTGAAGCTCCACTTGACTATCCAGAAGCTAAGAAACCATTGAAGCCAACAATGACATGAATAAAGCTGAAAAAAAGCCTCCACCATTATCTTCATTCAAAAACTTATGCCTGAAACATTAGAAACAGAAGTACATTGCTAAAGAGAATTCCATGACTTTTTGACTCGTTCAACGGACCATTCAATAATGAAAGACGATATTGCTTGAACCAAAACATGATTGAACCTTTATGTCTATGAATAGATATAATTTTGAAGTTTATAGAATCCGATTGAATTTCAATTGGAGAAATTTTTCTCGTCCTTCTATACCTCTAACATACTCCTGAAGGAAAAATGTAAAGAATAGAAGTTCACGAAACACAAGTGTAGGTGTCGCTTAGCAATATAAACTCAAATAAGAGTATCGAATGAGCATGGGGTGTCATAAAAGATGGCAAAGTTATACAAATAGTAATAAAATGGAACATGATTGAATGAGATGTAATTTTGAAAAGAAAATTCAATGATATAAGGGCACTAAGACATTAAGGTTCCCCTTGAACATACATACGAAATTCCATCAACGTAGAGTGCACCTATAACTCAATTGAATTTCTTATAGGAAGGATTCCAAGGATAACCTGTACCTCGCAAACTATCAAGAAATAATTTCGTCGAAAATGTTAAAATATATTTTAACATTTTTCAACTACTTTTGTTTATTTAAGCAACCAGCATCTTTCAACTACTTCTATTTATTTAAGCAACCAGCATAAACATCATAGTTTTATCCTTGCTACTCCAATATAAAATGTCAAAATATATTTTAGTTTTATCAATAATTATATGCTTCATATCAAAATTTAGCTTCAACTCATGCCAAATTGCATTCAACCTAATTGTAGCAATGGTCCTTCTAACATAACTCATTTTGACAAAATTATGACGAAGTTGACGAAAAGGACCATAGTTATATGTTTTGATGAGCTGAGTGATGTGATATAAACTAGCACACAAATTAAACCCTCTTATTGACAATTGTAGTAAAGATGTAAGTAGAGATCGTTCTAGGCCAGAGATTAGGAGGGATTGCTAATCTATTCTAAATTGGCTTAAAAACACAAAACTAGGCTTAAAAACACTTAACTAGACTCAAAGAACTCAAAACAAACTAAAAAGACTCAAAACAGCACAAAACAACCAAAAAGACTCAAAACAGACTCTAGGACTTACTTTGGACGAAAATTGAATTGGTTTTGACTCAAAACACTTAAAAACACACTTTAGGACAGATTCTAACTAATTTGACACAACAAAGTAAAGGGGATTGGGTTTTTGACGAATTTAAAGTAAAAACAAGTAAATTGCTGAAACAAACTAAGTTTAATACGAAATTGGGTGAATTAATGGGTGATAAGCTAGCTAGAGGGTCCTTCTCTACACATGACACACTTGCATACAAATTGATTTCCAGTTGCTTTTCCAATAAACCATGAACCTCAACACCCCAGATTAACCGTGACATCACTAATTAACCCTCAGATTTTTCTTAAGTCATTGAATTGGACGGACAACGCATCGGCAACCAAATTATTCTTCAATAGTTCCCTACATGAACAACATAATAGAGATACAATCAAAGATCATTAAGCCTTGTGAAAATCATAATCATTGACAAGGCATTCGTAACTATGACATCATGATACTCATGCCAGGAATTCAACTTAACACGATCGTGACCAGCGACCTTCACTACTTGTGAATATAAGTTCATAACGATTATGTGAAACTCCCTTATATTCTAGCATGAAATTCATGCATGCAAACTAAGTGTGCACCCTTAATCAACATACAAGAATAAGTTCTTAATCCCAACAGTTAAGCAAATTGCATTCATGATTTATGTAATCAATTCATATTGTAAATATAATCATGGTTTTGAATTCTCCTCTAGCTAAAACGAGTGTAGCCTCTCATTTTCACAGCAAAACAAAGAAAACTTAATTTAAACATTGAAAACAAAGATTGAATACACCTAGAAACGCTCCAACAATCCAACTTGAATGGCCAAAACGTCCAAGGAGTCTTCTCTCCTTCTTCTTTGCTGCGGCACAAGGGTGAATGGGTGAATGTATGGTATGGCTGTGTGATGGATGATTGAATGGTGAAGGGAGGTTGTGGAATTGTGGTGGAGGGATGGCTGAATAGGTGAATGATGAATGGTCCTCTTTTGTGCGGTAGATTATGTAAAAATAAAGGGATAAAGGGCAAGGCAGTAATTAATTAATTAGGGAAGGTTTTAAGACTCCAAATCCTCCAAGAAAAGGGTAACAAATTAGAATCCCAAGAGGAAAAGAGAAGGAAACCTGCGGCAAGGACAGAAAATAGGAAACAGGAAAGGGAAAAGTGTTGCCTTGCACGGCAAGGAAAGGGAAAGGGAGAGTTTGTGCGGCAAGGACCCTTTGGCTGGGAAGGCTTCTAGAAAACATATTTAAGTGTCCCAAATCAATTAGGAACCTCCCTTAACAGCTAGAAATTAAGTAGGAAAGATTAGGATTGACTAAGTCAAAATAAGGAAGTTTGACTCATGTTTCCTTCTTTGTAGCTGATTCCTTTTCTTCCAAGTCTTGAATTAATTTCTTCCATCTCTTTAGCAAATTCCTAGCCTTCTTTGATCTTCAATTTCGTCCATCCACCTTGCTCCAAGCACGTGCTAACCATTCCAAGCCCAAAACTGCTCCAAAATGCTCCAAATTGCACTTTCTTGCCACTTTAGCCAATTGGACCTACAAACACACGAAAATAGCTCAAAATACTAAAATAACTAGGAACTAACAACATAAATGTAAGATGACAAGCTAACTAAGTCGCATAAATATGCTCCTATCACTGAGGGATCCCAATTGTAGCAATGGTCGTTCCAACATAACTTATTTTGACAATTTATATTGAAGTTGACGAAAATGATTATAGCTACACATTTTAATGAGTCGAGGGACCAATGGTAATTAATTTTTAGTTAAGGGATCATTGCTCCAATTTGATTAAAATTGAAAGACCATTGCTACAATTTACGGTTCATTTTAAACCCAAGGTTTGGTAGGTAGTTATAAATTTATTACACTTGATGCAGGTTTGCAATACATTTCGCGATCGTCAAGAATCAAACATTCTGCAACCGCATATGAGGATGTTATAACAGAAATATCTAAAGCATGTGAAGCTTTTCAAGCGTAGGAATCATCTCCTTCTATTGATGGTACCTTAGCTTTCTCTTAACCTGCAATGTGCTGATTTCTTATGGTGTTCTGAAGGTTGGACTAATTTTTGTAACAGTAACTGCTGCTCGAGCACTTGAGTCGGTAAATACAGAGATTTACATCCTAAGGCTCTGCTCATGGCTGTTGTCGATTATAGTTTGAAAACCCACAGCAGAGTGCGGACAGTTTTTCTGGTAACACCTAAATGATACTGTCCAATTTGTCACTTGTCACCAACACTTCCAAGCAGCTCATTGACATCTTCTAGTGTCACATTTCTGTCCCAAACATTTGGTGTGTATTTTCAACTTCAGAATCAAATGTCATCGATGTACTATTTTGTAAAACTAACTCGAATGCTCCTCGATCACTCTTGCGATGTATTCAAAGTTTTGGGTTTCGATTTGGAAATCATTAGGTGTGTATTTTCAATCATTACATATTTTACAGATGAACTTATCAACGAACCAGAAGGCAAAGAATTGCATTCCATGAATGCTTCCAGCATGATTATAAGGCTAGCTAGTCTTTCCTGTATGCCAACACGTTCAAAACATCGGCAAGATCTGTCTCAACCTGAATACTCTGAACCCAATTGGCGTTAATCTGCACATGCTCCATGCTCTGCTTCAAGGTTCTGGTTATCGAGGGGGTGGGATGAACCTTAAAGAACTCATCTACTTCCTTGACCTTTTCAAATGAAGCCAACTGCAGAGGAAAGTAACGCCGAATGGACATGAAGGTATAAGAAAAGAAGGAATGGAAAGGTATTATGTAACTAATTTATATTGCTTGTGTAATCACAGATTAAAATTACACACAAAAAAAAAAAAAAAAAAAAAAAAAAGAAAAAAAAAAAGGGGTCTGAAAGGCCAGAACGAACCGGTGAAACAACTGCACGAACAAGGCTGGCAATTACAAATCCAGAACCCCAGGTCTTAGAGATGTGCTCCCAGTTATCCTGTATTTTGGATATCATCCAAAAGGCAAAATGAATCGTATTAACAAAAGTAGGGAAAGAATAGAAATACATTTCATAATATGCTCTTCAGAAACTAGTGCTTCAGAATTACCTTCAACCACGTCAAAGCTGTTTCCCGTCCTTCACTACTAACAGAAGATAGCCCACGGGCAGCATCCTGAAGGCGGACCTATAAATATAGATGCCGATTGCTTGAAATTTCTTTGAGATGCTCTAATAATTATGTACTTATAATTACAAAATTTCAACCAGCAAATATAAGACATAAGTAAAATCGGATACCTCAGAAGACAATAAAAGGTTGAGAACTTCCAGTACTATGCTCGGATCTGGACAAGATGCTAATGATTCTACAGGCACAGAGAGAAATCTTATTCCCATGACATAACAAATTAACAATCTCAGATGTTAGATCAGCATCCTTAATTGTACAAATGAATTAGTAGTTACTTATAATGCGGTTTTTCTCCTCGCTTAGATCAGCCTCTCTGTAAACTCTAAGAAGAGATTCGTAGCCCCATCTGTTACACATGCTTACTCTTTGCATTACCGCCACATACACTGCCTGAAACAATAGTTAATCAGGAAAGTCAAAAGCTTGAATATAGTGTTTAATTAATGGTTTACATCCAAAACAACCTTTCTTATGTCGGGAGGAAGGACTGGCGTATTTCGGTTATCCAAGAATTCACGAAAACGTCTACTTGCTTCATTAATTGTTGGGTCATGTCCAAACACAGCAAGGGCAGTTAAAATTTCTCCTCTTAGCATTGAATCTAAATGGCTCTCACCAGGTTTAGGCTCCCAACCAAGCTTTCTGTAGATAAATTCAACATACATATAAACTGTTAACAAAATAAATAGAAAGAAAGAAAAAAAGGAAGCAAATTTAGTGGACAGTTTGGTACTTGCATAGTTAAAAAAAAAAGAACAAGCTTACTCTGCAGAGTACTGGAAAAGGCTAATAAACGATTGTTTTATGAGATTCAGTAGCTCGGGTACAGCATCAGCCGCAATTCTTGCCAGCTTATAACATATCTGAGAAGTGAAGATCAGAGTCAGACTCAAACCATATACACAATAACCTAAACACAGAGCATAGGTGATCATTACGGCAATCAAATTTGACAGCACTGTATAGTCAAGTTCCTCTCTGTAAGCACCCAACAACGTAAGCAATGAAGCAAAAGACTGCTGGCGAGCCATAGAAAGGGCAAATGAATCATCCAAGATTCCTGTTGAAGGAAACAAAATGATATAAACTAAATACTTCCATTTTTCACTATCATAGAGATGCAAGTTTGTGTGTGCGTATGTGTGTGTGCATAAAAAGACGATTACCGTATCTGTCGGTTGCAGACAAGTCTTTCTTTTCTATAACATTTCTAAGTGCAGCTAAAAGTTCATCTGAATACATCACCCTGTAAAAACCAGTCTGATCCAAGTTGACTTTGATCCAACTGTATAAGGCATTGTTTTTATTGCTTGCACTTCTACATCCATTCTCTGCTAGGAAGCAGCCCAGAAATTCTTTTAGGTCGAGACTTTCGGACTTGTTTCGTAGTAGGAAACTCTTGTGCACATCATATGAGCCACAGCATAATGTTATCGGCACAATCCATTGCCCATCACCTTGGGAACCACTCAAGTAGAATTGTGTCTGCCGTTTATTAATTTACTTATTAGAATTTTCCAAGTACCACAGAATAAGGCTTAACAATATGCATCTGAGCTCCAAGATGTAATTTAAAATTTTGACAATCAAACAAAATTTTCAAGGAGGCAAAACAAGGAAACCTGGTCAAATTGCAATTTCTGATCTTTCACTTTGACAGAAATAACAGGGTAACCCATTTGCTGAGTCCATGAATTCATTAGCTTGTTCACAGGTTCACCAGATATCTCCTCAAGGGCAGCCCATAAATCTTCTGTGATTGTATTTGAGGAAGCATGCTTTCTTATGTATGAAGCAAGTGACTTCTGGATGCATTAAAAAATAACATGCAATTAACCAAAGTTCAAAAGTTCAATTAAAGAATAGAGACACACATCAAAAACCTTTCTCGTATTGTATGAAACCCAAAAAAAAAAAAAAAAAAAAAAAAAAAAAAAGAAAATCAAAGAACCTACCTGGAAGTATTCCGCACCAAGATAGCTTTGTAGCATCCGAATAATAGAAGCTCCTTTTCTATAACTTATTGAATCAAATATTTCATCAACCTCAGCAGCATGATTGATCTCTACGTGGCCAAAAGACCCAAGATTAAAACATAATATACCAGTTACCTGAACACATGTATGCTTATACCCTTCATTAAATAGTGTGCTGAAAGTATAGTGATGAATACTACTATTTAAAGCCTGTCATGCACGAAAGACATATGTAAAAGTACCTCGATGGGGTGAGATTCTTCAAGCCCATCCAGCTTAAGACCCCTAGCACTTTCATCAACAAACTGAGTCCATACTTTCCACTCTGGGAACAAGCTATCAGTAACTAAATAGCTCACCTAATGACGTTTAAAATACTTAATTAAAGTCCAAAGCATGTAAAATAACAAGTACAACAAATGAAGTTAAGTGATACCCATGTTGCAAATCCCTCGTTCAGCCATAAGTGTGTCCACCATTCCATCGTTACAAGATTGCCAAACCACTGGTGTGCCAATTCATGTGTCACAGCAGTTGAAACCTTTCAAAAGCAAAAAAGAAATGTATATTCATATATATATATATTTCATTTGGGTTTTAAATAAATCAATAGGGTAGTGCTATCAACAGGCCCATTTTTACTTCTCACACACCCCTTTCAACTTTCGGCCTTCAAATCAAATGAATTACGAAGATTGATGGACAAAAATTAACAAGGGTGTGTGGGAGGTAAAAACAGGTGTGTGAATAGAACTGTCCAATAAATAAATAACTACATATCATATGAACCAAGCTAAATGCTGAAAGCTAGAGTTACCATTTGCTTGTTGGCAGCTGCAGAATTTTGTTCATCAAAGAGCAAAGCTGATTCTTGGTACGTAACTAAACCATAATTCTCCATGGCCCCATGAAAATCAGGAATTGCAACCATATCCAATTTGGGCAAAGAGTATGGCATAGAAAAATAACTGTAAAACTTTTTCGTCATTGATTTCATATTGAGTGTTAAACAACACATCGTAGGAACGGTAGGGAAAGAAACTAGATATAGTCCATAACAGGCATTAAGTGTAATTGCAAATTCGAATATGAATGATTAGTAATTTTGTGATCAATAAACATACTCTTTGTAAAATTCAAGAGTCCTGACAGCAAGGTCCAAAGCAAACTTCCCTTGGTCTGCCCTGCCAACTTGACAATATACCTGCACTATGACCCCTACGACGAGATAAAATGTGGCACCATCAAGAAAGGGTTGCGGTTGCACTAAATACACACACAACAAGAGATTGTCAATGATTTTACCATCAGAAGTATGATCTTCAATATAATCAAACAACCCAACAACTATGGCCACCAAATATGTAGACATGATTGGTGATTCTTGATATGTAACTGTCTTCATATGTCCATCCACTTTTTCTTCTACAACCGGCATGTTGGAAAGAGCTACTAATTCGGACGGAACATCATCCAATATAATCTTGAATGTAGCCTGTCAATCAAAGTTCCAGTAAGAATAAATGGGGTGAATGCAGCAGACCCTCAAAGTTAAACAATTTAACCAGAACTAAAGGATTGATTTCTTATCCATACTACCATCCCATAACCAACATATCTGTTTCCTCCTAAAATCAAAGCTGCAGTTAGAAGCCATGTTTAGTATCCAGAATCGATTTAACAAAATAACTATATACAAATGTAAATCAATATTTTTATTCTACTGTGTACGCAAGTGAGAGACCTTCCAAGCAGGTTCATCCCAACATGGAAAGCACCGCCTGGCATCAACTGGTTGAAACTGCGTAACTGCCATATTTTTCTTCTCACTGTTATGCTCATATGTACTGCACCATTGAAGTATAATAGGCACATTGATAGATGAAAAGGAGCTATACAGACTGTATAACAAATCCGGAATTCAAGGAACGTCCTTACCTTCTAAAAAATCCCTTAATCTTGTCATTCAAAATACCTTCAAACCCAATAGCCAAAACTCCCAAACCAATCGGAAGTGTCTCTCCAAACTCCAAAACCAAAACCCCGTCTTCGTTGAATATCTCAACTTTTGAAGGCTTAAAGACCTGCTCAAACAGTCATTTACTCATTGTATGAGTTACTTTTAACACTATTTTGGTACAGCTGAAACAATCAGATAAACTTATTAGGACTTTCAAATTAAATTAAATTAAATTAAATGAGATAGCTATTCTCCAATCCATTTTCCTTTTCCTACAGCTTTCTAATTAAGCAGCAGCCAAACAAGGCAGCAAAATCACTAATCAAGGATTGATTAATCACTTATGGGATAAGTGCTTCCGAGAAAAATCACTTTAAAAATCGATGAGTGTCAAGTACCAAATCATCCAAGCTAAAAACGATAAAAAAAAAATTGTCTGAATTGAGGCAAATAATGAGTGCACCGATGATCGGTGGTAGTACCTTGGAAGAGTGAGTGAAAGAGACGGAAACGGCATCGACGGCGAGCTCGGTAGCGTTGAGGGCGATGAATCGAGTATCGGAGACGATATCGAGGTCGATGGCGACGGAGCCGGCGAATTTGCAAGCGATGAGGTCGGGTTTCAGCCGTATGGAGTATCGCTTTGGCACGGCGAATTTCGGAAGCCGCGGTTGGCCTCTGAACTGCTCCATCTCCGCCTTCGTGTCACGATAGTTGCTCCTCTGTTCTGTGAGAAGCAGAATGATCGTAGGAGAGATTAACGTCGTCCGCGCAAGTTAAACGTCAAAGGTAATGCATTGAAAGTGTAATCAATGTTTAAAAAGTCAAAGAAAGATATAAAAATAGGAGGTAAAGTCTACTCTTTACCTTTTTTATTTATTTATTTTTTTTTTTGAAAAGAAGTACGATATTTATTGAAATAAGAGAAATACGTACATCAATATGAAAGATGGAATGTATTATAAACCTTGATAAAACCTTGCCGGAAATTTCAATTTGGACAAAAGAAAAAGAATGCCTCGCATAATTAACAATATAACCATCCTCCAAACAATACAATCATAAAAAATTAATTAAGAAACATCCTTAGTTAAAGCATCTTAGACTAGAATTGGTGGGTATCCACACCTGATGCGAGAATTATACGCACACAAATTAAACCCTCTTTTTGACAATTGTAGTAAGTATGTAAGTAGGGATCGTTCTGGACCGGGGATTAGGAGGGATTGTTAATCACTTGGATTTGACTCAAAAACGCTAAAAACACAATCTAAAACACTATACTAGACTCAAAGAATGCAAAACTAAATTTTAAAACACTAAGACAAACCAAAGACTCAAAATGCTTTAAAGCATAAACTAAATTGATTTCTAACTAAATTGAACAATAAGGTAAAGGGGGATTTAGGTTTTGATTAAACTAAATGACAGATTGTAAATTAAAGCATAAGGAAATGAAGTAAACACAAAATGAATGAATCAACAGCTAATAAAAAGAGATAGCACAAATGGAGATGAAGCTAGAGATTCGATTTCACCATTGCTAAGCCAAGTCCATGCTTGTTAAGTCAGATTATACTCATCCCTCTACTTATTTCTTGGGTTTGTTTCACTTAGATATGATCAGCCATATGATGTGTGGATTTGATCAAATGTCTCTAATCATGAGCCTAATTGTGATGTGCAACTTTGGTTCCTAATCAAGACTATGTAGTGCACAAGAAACTTTCACAAAACCAAAGGGAACACTCGGCAGGATGTTTGCAAAACATTCCCTTCATTCATTCACATATCTACCAAGATTATGCATGATGTGTGCTTTAATCTTGGCTAAACAACCTGTGGTTAATTCAAATGATGATCAAGCATTAAAATCAACACACTAAGTCACAATTAAATCGGAGAATGAAACAAGAAATAGATAGATTAAATGAGAATTCCGAATTAACTACATGACAATCTTGCAAGGCTACATCGAATCCCTAGAGAGAGATTAGTTACACTTCATGTTTACAAAAGGTTTGACATAAAAATATATAACATGAGTGAACATAGGATTAAGAAGAAAGAACCCTTGAAGCAAAACTGATGTCGAAATCCTTTAAGAAATGGGAGAGTGTATCTAATGGAATGAAGCCGAGAGGAACTTCCTCATGGTACAAAACAAAGAGAATCAAAGAAACACCTAAACATTCCAACAACTCAAACTTGAATTGTATGAACGTTTAGGCCCTCTTATCTTCCTCTTCGTCGTAGCACAAGGTCTAAGGGATGTTGTTGGTGTGTTGAATGGATTGGGGAATTATGGAAATGGATGAGGAGTGGTGTTTGGATTATAAGGGAATGGTAGCTCACGGCAATGAGGGAAGATTGGATGTGTTTGTGATGTGTTGTGTATGAAAATGAGATGAGATTTTTGTGTATGAATGCATGGGTTTTTATAGGGGGAATGGGAGAACATGTGGGTGATTGTTTAAGAGTGAATGTGGTTGTTATGATTGAGAGTGCATGTGGATGAAATAATGATGGAAAAAGAGCTAGGTTGTTGGTGTGTGAATGCATGTGTTGAATTTGTGATGCAATGATGAAAGAGTAAGTGCATGTGTGTGTGAATGGTGGTGCAATGATGAAAGAGTAAGTGCATGTGTGTGTGAATGGTGGTGCAATGATGAAATGATGAAGTAGGAAGGTGGAAATGGCATGTGTTGAATTTGTGATGCAATGATGAAAGAGTAAGTGCATGTGTGTGTGAATGGTGATGCAATGATGAAAGAGTAAGTGCATGTGTGTGTGAATGGTGGTGCAATGATGAAATGATGAAGTAGGAAGGTGGAAATGCATGTGGCTAAGGGTTGTTGATTGGGCTAGAGGTTTTGCATGGCTCAAAGGATTGTTTGATTGGGCTAGGCCCTTTGTTTTATGTCCAAAGTGCATACAAGGCTTTCAAATTCGTCCAACACTTTGGCTCCAAGCATATGCTATCCATTCCAAGCCCAATTTTGCTCCAAAATGCTCCAAAATGCATCTTTTTGCTTCCTTAGCCATATGAACCTAAAAACACACGAAAATGGCTTAAACTACTAAAACAACTATGAATTAACAACATAGATGCACGAAAACAAGCTAAGTAAGTCGCCTAAATATGCTCCTATCAACACTAAACCATCTCAGCCGCACATCCAAGTCCAGCACACACGAGTCTATCCGTTACCCGATTTGCATCTCGACAAATATGCAGTAACATTGTCAAATGAAAGGAACCTAGAAAATGATTGATGTCATTAATTAAAGGCCCCATGTTTGATGTATCTACACCCCGACGTTGCATAGCTGCCAAAGCTATTGCAGAATCTTCAAAACGAAAAGGTCTCCCATCTGGAAATAGTTCCAACACGAACATTACAGCCCTTCTAGCTACCAAGAATTCCACCTGAAAAGGAGATGTAGTGTGATCAACAGAAGCCGAGAGCCCAGCTAAAAAAATTTTCGTTGTGATCCCGAATGACGGCTCCAACACCACCCATGCTCAATGTGGATGCAAATTTTTGTCTTCTTCTTAATGGACAAAATTGCACCTACAAAACAAATAACACCTTAGGTCAAGGCCAAGAGCCTCACGCGCCCACGATGAATTGGGGGGGAGGGACTTTGGCCGAAGAACTTGATGTGATATAAAATAGCACACAAATTAAACCCTCTTTTTGATAGTTGTAGTATATGAAAGTAGGGATCGTTCTAGGTCGGGGATTAGGAGGGACTGCTAATCTACACAAATTAAACTCTAAATCACTAAACTAGACTCAAAAATAGAAAACTAAACTTAAAGTGACTCAAATAACTCAAAACAAGCTAAACTAACTCAAACAGCACAAAACAAGCAAATTGACTCAAAACAAGAACTAAGGAGTGATTTGGACGAAAATTAAACTAAGTAGACTCGAAATACTAAATGGCGGGTTTGTTTGATGAATTTAAACTAAAACAAACAAGTTACAGAAACAAAGTAAATTGATACGAATGTGGGTGAATTGATGGGTGATAGGCTAGCTAGAGGGTCATTCTCCACACATGACACATATGCACACAAATCGATTTCCAATTATTATTCCAATAAACCATGAATGACAATGCCCCAAATTAATTGTGAACTACACAAATTAATTCTCAGATTTTTCTAATTTCATTGAATTGGACTCAGCGACGCAATCAAATTATTCTTATCAAGTTCCCTATATGAACTGCATGATAAAGATACATATCAAAGATCATTAAGTTATATGAAAATCATAAGCATTGACAAAGCATTCGTAACTATGAAAAGCATGATGCTCATGCCATGGATTTACTTAACATAATCATGACTAGTGACTTCCACTACTTATAAATATAAGTTCATAACAATTAGGTGAAATTCCCTTATATTTTAGCATCAAATTCATGCATGCAAACTAAGTAGGTCTCCTTAATCAACATACAAGAATAAGTTATCAATCAAACAGATAAGTAAATCGCATTCATGTTTTACGAAACAATAATTGGAGGAAATCAATTCATATAAAACATATGTCCATGGCTTCGAATTCACCTCTAGCTAAAAAGAAATTAGTTCCACATGTTTGTCATAGTTGAAAAACAATCTAAAATAAACATTGAAACTAAAACTAATGATAGAAAGAACCTAAGACGCTCCAACAATCCAATGGTAGATTGCACAATCCTTGGATGCAAGTTACCGCTTAAAACCCCTTCTTCTCCTTCCTTCCTTGCTTGCAGGTAGAAATCTCGGTGTACCTCAAGAGTAATCTTGTATTTTTTACCCAAAAATCCGCGTGTCGCCTCTATATTTTTCTTGATTATTTTTGGCTCCACACTCGAGTTTTTTGACCAAGCACCATCGAAATTACACTTTAACCACTCCGAGGGTGATTGACCCCATTTTTGTTGGTCACGAGACTGCGATACCTTTGGTTGTTTATGAAACTGTTGGAAAGAAACCATCCACTCCTCCGCTCGCAGCACCACCTCAGTGCACCCTAAACTCCTCTCCATATCAAGTCGTTCTGCGCCTTCCACAAGCTCCAAAAAACCATCAGCAATAGCTAATTATATTCTCAACCTTTTAGGCCTCGTCTGGTATAGACGATTTGATTAGAAAGAAGAGGCTTACTTCACAATTAATTTCTTTCTAAACCCCAAAATAAAGAGTCATTCATACACCCTTTCAACATTTCCAGAGTTTAAGGGTTAGTTTGGAATTGGTGTGATGTGCAAAAAGCGTTGTTTTCAAAAGCAGAGCTACTTCTGCTTTATACTTTTTTGAATTTATGATTTTGATAAAAAATAGCACTTTTTTTTTTCCATTTACCAAGCACAACTTTAGCTGCTTATGCTTTATACTTTTTTGAATTTATGATTTTGATAAAAAAATAACACCTTTTTTTTTTTTTTTTTCATTTACCAAACACAACTCTAGCCTAAACTTAAAAAAAAAAAAAATTGTTTATAAAAAAATGTCAATCACCATCCTCCATATTTACTCATTGGTCTTGGCCTCTCATTTTTGGTGCAGCTTCAGGTTCAAGTTGATCTTAAGCCAAGCCCAACATATTAGAAACATTACATGCAAATGCAATAGAAAACAAGATAGTGCTTTCAACTTGTCAATTTCTAATTCTTACACGCTATTCTTAATTTTCGAACAACAATG